AGTTCAAAAGAGCCTAACTAGAGTTTGGTCAAGGAGAGAATCTTTGTCACTTTTGGCTGTTTGGTATGTATCCTTTTGTTTCCAATAAAATATTAAATAACCATATTGGAATAGCTTGGTTATATATAGTGACATAATATTTGTCATAATATGATGGTGTGTATTTTTAAAATGAAAGTTGAGGCCAGGTCCAGTGGCTCATGCCTGTAATCCCAGCACTTTGGGAGGCCGAGACAGGTGGATTGCTTCAGCCCAGGAGTTTGAGACCACCCTGGGAAACATGAAGAAAACCCATCTCTACAAAAAATGCAAAAATGAGACAGGTATGGTGGTGCACGCCTACCATCCCAGCTACTAGGGAGGCTGAGGTGGGAGAATCACTTGAGCCCAGGAGTTCAAGGCTGCAGTGAGCACTGTGATTGCGCCACTGCATTCTAGCCTGTGTGTTAGAGCAAGACGCAGTTTCAAAAGAAAAAAAAAATTGATGTACTTCAGAAAACTCAAAAAAGATTATTTTCACATTCTGATTGTTACCTAATGCTAAATAAATAAACATGGTAACTAGAGCCACAGTTTCCAAGGATTTTATAATTTAAAATTGATACATCAATATAAGTAAGGCTGGTGAAGGCTACTTCACTGGGCTTGGAAGGCCTGGATTCTCATCCAAGTTCTTTTTCACTATCATACTTTGAGTGAATTCTTATCTTGGGGTCCTCTTTTAAAGTTAGGAAGCAATCCCATTTGCAATAGCAACAGAAAGAATGCAATTCAAAGAAACAAACTTAAAGAATTGAAAGACTTGTACACTGAAAATAATAAAACATTGATGATGGACATTAAATAAGACATTGATACATGCAAAGATTTCTTGTGTTCATGAATTGGTAGAGTTAATGTTGTTACAATGTTCATACTACCCAAAGTAATCTGTAGATTAAGCATAATCCTTATAAAAAATTCCAATAGCATTCTTTTTTTTTTTTTTTTTTTTTTTTTTGCGATGGAGTCTTGCTCTGTCACCCAGGCTGGAGTGCAGTGGCACCGTCTCGGCTCACTGCAACCTCTACCTCCCAGGCTCAAATGATTCCCCTGCCCCAGCCTCCCAATTAGCTGGGACTACTGGTGTGTACCACCATGTCCGACTAACTTTTTGTATTTTTAGTAGAGAAGGGATTTCACCCTGTTGGCCAAGCTGGTCTTGAACTCCTGACCTCAGGTGATCTGCCTACCTTGGCCTCCCAAAGTGCTGGGACTATAGGCGTGAGCCACTGCATCCAGCCTCCAACAGCATTCTTTACAGAAATAGAAAAAAAAAATCTTAAAATCCATATGGAACCACAAAAGAACCCAAATAGCCATAGAAGTCTTGAACAAGAAGAAAAAAACCTGGGACTATCATATTTCCTGATATCAAAATATATTACAGAGGTACAATAATCTTAACAGTATGATACCGGCATAAAAACAGACATAAGAGACACCAGATATAAATCTTTGCATTTGCAGTCAGCTGATCTTCAACAAGGGTGCTGAGAATGTGGAATGGTGAAAGATATTCTATGTAATAAGTAGTGTTGGGAAAATTGGATATCCACATGCAGAAGAATAAAATTAGACCTTTTACACCATATACAACAACTAACTCAAAATTGACTAAAGACTTAAATATAATACCTGAAACTACTAGGTGAAACCAGTGGGGGAGCCTCGTGATACTGGTATAGGTAATGATTTAAGTACATAAGTGACTCATGCAACTCATAACAAAACTCAAATAACCTGATTAAAAAGTGAGCAGAGCGCCCCCCTAATAGATGTTTCTCCAGAAAAGATATACAAATAGCTGATAGACATGTGAAATGATGCTCAATATTAATAATCATCAGGGAAATGCAGATCAAAACCACAATAATAAGATACTACCTCATACCTGTTAGGATGGTGATTATCAGAAAGACAAAAGATACCTGTTGCCCAGAATGTGGAAAAAAGGCGACTCATGTACACCATTGGTGGGAATATCAATTGGTATAGCTACCTTGGAAAACAGTTTAGAAGTTCCTCAAGAAATTTAAAAACAGAACTATCTTTATGATACAGCAATCTCACTTCTGGGTATATTTCCAAAGGAAATGGAATCAGTATCTTGAAGAGATGCCTGCACTCTCATGTTCGTTGCAGCACTATCCACAAAAGCCAAGATATGTAAATAATCTCAATGTCCCTTGACAGATGAATGGATAAAGAAAATGAGATATGTATATGTGCGTTTGTAGCACACACAATGGAATATTATTCGGCCTTATAAAAGAAGGAAATGCTGTTGTTTACAACAACACAGATGAAACTTGATAAGATTATACTAATGTGAAAATACTAAATGTGAAATAAACCAGTTATGCAAAGACAAATACTGTATATCACTTACATGTGGAGTATAAAGTAGTCAGACTCAGAAGTAGAGTAGAATAGTGAGTGACGGGCTGGGTAGAGTGGGAAATGGGGAGATATTGTTCAAAGGATGGAAAGTGCTGGAGATCTAATGTACAGCAATGTGACATTATTGATAGCTGATTGTGTATTGTGTACTTAATTTTCTTCAAAGGTAAATATTACATGATTTCACCACAGATTTTTTTGAATTATAACTATTTCAGGTGATGAATACATTAATTAATTTGACTGTGCTGATTATTTCACAGTGTGTGTGTGTATCAGAACATTGTTGTACCTAAAGTGTATGCAATTTTTATTTCTCATTTATACCTCAATAAAACCTAGGGGAAAAACGAGAATTCTCTCTTCACACCATTTTTGTAAGTTTGAATCAGGAGCAAATGAGATGTTCTGTTAAGTTCTTTGAAACTCATTGTAAAAAGATAGAATGATTCTTGACCTTTTAAAAAATGATGTAGAACCCTCTGAAAGCTGAGAATCTGTTAGGAAAAACATTTTTGAAGTGTTGGAGGATCATGAATCCCCTAAGTCCTAGCCACAGTCTCTAGATTACGAACTCTAGCTACAGGGTAAGGACATGGAGCAGAGCTATAAATAATCTGAAGTGTTAGTTAATTCACAAAATGTTTATAGTTCACTTCAAATTTAAGTTTTGCTCAAGGGATTTATAGGACTGCAGCACATAGTAGTTTATTTGAACATATTTGTTGAGATATTTATATTTGGAGGATATGTTTTTCAAGAATAAGATACATTGGACATCTTTGAACTGGACTAACTTTTGTTATTTCGCAGATGAAATGCTCTCCCAGCCCTGTGCCTATGTGTTAATGCTGTTTCCTGCAGTTGGGCCCTTGAAACTGTGCCAAGTGCTCTCTGCACAGTAGTCATTCAGTGCAAACAAGCCATTGGCAGAGTTCTAGGCAGAATTTGTCTGTCTCCTCCTCACTTGTGATGAGTCACATCATATCCTCCTCTTAGCTACAGTGCCTCAGCATATACCTGTAGTCAAATATGGAATTCACTCAAAATTCACAAGGGCAAGTGTGTTTGAAATTCTTGTTCTTATAGTCTTAAAAATCAATAGGCAAATGTTTAGTAAATAAAACTCTAACCTTGCTGTAGTCCTTCATTTTTTAAATGGCCTACTGGCTTATGTGATTCTGTAGCAAAATTAAAAATTAATCTCAAGAGATGCCTGCTTTTCTATGGATTAAAAAGCAAATTGTCTTTCATCCAAATTCTGCATACCCAGAATGTCCTCCCAGCCTTCCTGATTCCTTTTGTAAGATATCCTGTTTTTGTGTCTAGACTTAGCTAATTGCTGGCATCGTTAGTAGTGGTTAAAAAGGGGTAATGATGCTTTCTGAAAGCTTGCTGTTACGGATTCTGTATATACTTTAACTCAATGATTAGTTTGTGTATTTTTTTAACTGCAGCTCCAGCAAGGGATACATTTTGCATTATGATTCAGTACCCATTCATCCACACTTATCTGAAATAAGCTTCATGAAACAAGTTATTTTCATATATCTTCTATTTTTTTCTATTCTATTTCACTTCTTTTAAAAATGCTTATCATTGTCTACTAAATGGTTTAACGTGATTTACCAAACCATAGTTTTAGAAAGTAGTCTACCATTACATGATCATTTTCACTGTCATTTTATGACTTACATGATAAATTAGGATATTATTATATTTAATTTTCATATTTTAATTTATAATATACACTATTCTTCAGGTACTCAAGGTGTAATTGAGTTTTCTAGGGAAAAATTAATTATAAATTAACCAAAATAGAAAAATTTGTGAGGTTTTAGGGTTTTTTATTGTGTTAGATGTGTTAAGATTAGGGTTAAATTTGTTTTTTTAGTATTTTTACATTAACCATTACGAAATCTGTCAATAGTAAGTTTTGTGATCCCTTTATGTTTCTATTTTTTTTTTATTTATTTAAAGACAGGGTCTCAGTTGCCCAGGGCAGAATGCAGTGGCGTGATCTTGGCTCACTGCAACTTCAACCTCTCAGGCTCAAGTGATCCTCCCACTTCCGCCTCCTGAGTAGCTGGGACTATAGGCACACACTACCACACCTAACTAATTTTTGTATTTTTAGTAGAGGCGAGATTTTGTCATATTGCCCGGGCTGGTCTCGAACTCCTGAGCTCAAGCCATTCAGCCACCTCAGCCTCCAAAAGTGCTGGGATTACAGGCGTGCACCACTGTGCCCGGCCTCTTTATTTTTGAATTTGATGTGATGAAATTAATTGGAAACATTTGTTACTTGTCTGATTAATGTTTTACATTTTACACAAATTGTGACAAAGTGAATAGGAACTTCCAGTGCTATGATTCATAATTTGACCTTCAGGGGGAATTTATCAGAATATTGCTTCTCTGTCTTTTCTGTTTAAAGAAGTAAAATGATATATTTTAGACATAATTTTGTTTTGTAAATTTCTTATAAGCTCTTACATTCATGCTTGACCTAGTCAAGATGATGTTTCAACTGTTCACGTACTGACATTTTTCTACAGAATTAGAAGTGTGTCTCACCAACCAGCCAAGATGAACATGGTGAAGAGGATCATGGGGCGGCCGAGGCAGGAGGAGTGCAGCCCACAAGACAACGCCTTGGGACTGATGCACCTCCGCCGGCTCTTCACGGAGTTGTGCCATCCTCCCCGGCACATGACTCAGAAGGAACAAGAAGAGAAACTGTATATGATGCTGCCAGTGTTTAACAGGGTAAGTCCAGGTTACCAGACACAGACCTTCCAGGACTGGGTGGCGCTACAAGAATCTGAAAGTTACTGGTATGCCATAGGTGGAAAAAAATGATAGGATGAGTAAGCTTTTAAGAAGCTTGGTGTTATCATATCATCTTTTCACTTTGCTGTAAAGCAATGTGATTTGATGTGAAATCTGGTCAGAATAAACTACAGTTAGTGGGACTTCTTTGATTTTTAATAGATAAAGGGCAAGCTGTGAGCATTGTCTAAAATGTCCCTGTAATGGGGTTGAGTTTTGGAAGAGGAATAGATTGTAAATTACCAATTGTATTATTTCTGTTACCTTTTAAAGTGATGGTTTTATTACACCAAATGATACAGTTGCCCAAACCCTTTGTACACTTTAAAAAGTCATTAAAATTTGCTGTTGTTTAAGAGTTAGTGTAAGAGGATAGTTATAGGCTATAGAGAATCCAAATAGAGTTAATGTTTTAATATATTTTGTGAATTACATGTACCAATCTTGTTGGGTATCTTTAAAATAACTTTAGGCTGGATACTGTGGTGGCTTATGCCTGTAATCTTAGCACTTTGGGAGGCCAAGGCAGGCGGATCACCTGAGGTCAGGAGTTTGAGACCAGCCTGGCCAACATGGTGAAATTCCATCTCTACTAAAAATACAAAAATTAGCTGGGTGTGCTGGCAGCTGACTCTAATCCCAGCTACTTGGAAGGCTGAGGCAGGAGAAACGCTTGAACCTGGGAGACGGAGGTTGTGGTGAGCCAAGATCGTGCCATCGAACTCCAGCCTGGGTGACAAGAGCAAAACTCTGTCTCAAAAAGCAAATGATAATAATAATAATAATAATAATAACTTCTATATATTTATCAAAAGTTCACAAATACATCATTTTAAAAGTCAAATAGTTTCATAGGCTTGTAGGTGCCCTACCACTCTTCACCACTAATTGCTGCTGCCATGAAACACTTTTGAATAACATACTTTTACTGCTGTTGATTATGAGAATGATGGAGGGAGGAGATGCTAGAGTAGGAATGTGAGAAGAACTGGGGAAAGGTTTAAAATAGCTCTTTTAAAAATGGGAGAGAGAACTATGACAAACCATTGTTTTAAGCACTATTCAGGGAAGTTAATAATTTTTATTGTAGGAAGTTAATTGTTGTTACCCAGAAGTTTTGTTTTTTAATTTTATTTTTGTTTTACTTTAGTGTCATGATGTGCTGTTGACTAGTAAGTAGTTTGAGGTAATTTCCTTCTCTCTGACTTAGGAATGTTTACAAGGTAATGAGAATGTTTAGAGCAGTTAGTGGAATTGTTCTTGGCTATTAACATGAATTACTAAATAATAGCCTACATATGTATGTATATATCCCATGTATTTCATCAGTTAGGGTTTCACAGTCTACTAGACTAAAAGAATCTTATGAATATTTGTTGTTTTAATAGTAGATATGAGATACTTTAGTAATTATTCTCTATCTAATGTTGGACTTAGTTATCTTATGTCCTATGTTATTGTCTCATTATTAAATTTTATCAAAAGTTTTTATTTGATTGATTCAAAGCACATATGTATGCAATGCCTTAAACCTATATTATAATTTGAATATCACAGTGATTTGAGTATCACAAAGGTTCAGTAACTCTTAAGAAAAGATAGAGAGTTGTATCTGTAACATTTTGACCAATATGAAAAATGTATTATTTTAAAAATAATTCTTATTCAGTGGATGTAATTATAACTATAAACCAAAATTGTCCTTAGATACAATTTTCATTAAATTTAGAAATATATAGCTATATCTGTTTAACATTTGGCCGCTTGTGCTTGAACATTCTCTATTAGTGAGAAATACCTATGGTGAGTAGAATAGCTTCGTATGTCTCTAGAGCCAACCAATTCTTACCATGATTGCTAAAAAGGAATTGCAGTGTTGATTTTTGAGACTTTACTTGATTAGAGCTAAATAGTGAACAAGCTATAATACTGTTAGACATGGACAACTATCTACAGCCTAGTTTTTAAAGTATGCTTAATAGTGTTATTTCAGTGCATGATTTTTGCCTTTGAGAGACATGGGTTGGGAAATAACACGTAAAGTCTTTGTTCCGGGCCATGTCTCATGCTGGTTCTTGAAATGCCTCCTGTTGTCTTCATTACTGTCCTACAAGGAGGCTGCTGTTGTCTTCCCTCTTGCTGATTTGCTCAAACTGAAAGATGATAGTGAAGTCTGAAAATAGCTGAATAATATTTATTCAGCATTCTTAAAAAGAATTAATCTTTAGTTCCAAGAACAAGTTGACAAAAAAATTTGGTTTAAACTTATTCAAAATGAGTAGCATTTTACTTGTCAAAAAATTCATAGCTGCCACTGTTAATTACTATACTACTTGTTATATTTTGTAGTATATTATAAAATGTAGTGTTTACCAATTAGATCTTCTTTAAGAAACACCCTTATTTTTGTGCTTATTTCCAATTTATATTTGAGAAGCATGTAAATGTAATAGTGTCCTTTTTAAATCCCTTACAAATTACCATCACTTTTTAATTTGTAAGCTTAAGAGAGGTCACGCAAACTTAGAACCAAATGAGAGAGAAATCATAAGGCAGACAGATGAATTATTTTGTTGCAGCTTTATTACTTATTATGTAATACCAATAGAATTGATACTGGAGAATGTGACTTGGGTCTGTGCAACAAAGGACTTGCTGAATTCAGCCCTGAAATAGTCATGTTTACTTACCCAGTCACTGGCAGAACTGAACAGTTGCAAGCCACAGCCAGAACAGATGAGAATGCATATTCTCATGAGACAGGCAGAACCCAAAAGGAGGGGACGGGGCTGAGTTGGGCATTCTGTTTTCAAACTCACATCTGATGTTCCTTCTTAGAAAACAGAAAGAGCATAAGATAAATGTTTCCCTAAACATTTATATTAACTGATAAGAAATCTTAACTGACTTACCATATGAAATAATGCAATTACATCTTCATTGTTAATTTTTTAACATTGTTATTTATAGCAAATTATTTGAGGACTGATAATGGTCAATAGTCTGACTTAATTTTCGATATTATATATATTTAGGAAACGAAAGCCTCCATTTTTAAACAGTTTGTAAACATTCCAACATTTCTTTTATTAGTCATATTTAATACATTTTTATTGAATTGCACCATTCAGTAGCAAGTATATATTGAAATATATGTATATTGAGCCTTTATAAATGCCATTGGATAACACCATTAATTTGTTTTCCCTGAGTGCCAAAAATATTTGGTTGAAGAGGTGCCAGGAAATCTTCTGAAATCTATTTAGGTGGATATTAAAAATGACTCTTTTAAAAATAAGTTAAACTTTGCTATTTCTCTCTAAAGGTGTACACTATGCAAAGTTGCAGTGATAGGGTTCATGCACAGTTTGAGAAAAATATAGGACTGAGTGCTTAAGAGCCTGGCTTGGAATCAAACAGATGTAGTTTAAATTCTGTCTGTATTTTCTCCTGTTTTAAGTTAACTTCTCTAACTCTTAATTTTCTTATCCGTAAAATGAGGATACTAACAGAACCTCTTCTGTCGGATTTTATAAGGCTTAAATGACACCAAGTACTTGAATAGTGCTAGGCAGATTTTATGTTGGTATTATATAGTAATTGTTATTTCTAGTGAATTTGCTAGAAGGCATTTTTGTTCCTCAGTACTACTGTTTTTGTTTTTTAAATCTGTTACGAATTTCACATATGTATTCTAGAATCAGCCCTTTTGAGTTGAATATCTTACCACTTCTCTTGCCCAACTTTATTGCTCTGCAGAACCAGAAATCTTTTGTCCTTGTTTGTTTGAGACCCAGTCTGGTCTGTTCCCTGGCTGGAGTGTAGCGAGGCGATCTTGGCTGACTACAGCATCCGCCTCCCGGGTTCAGGCAGTTCTCAGGCCTCAGCCTCCCATGTGGCTGGGACTGTAGGAATGTGCCACACACCCAGCTAATTTTTATATTTTTAGTAGACATGGGGTTTCACCATGTTGGCCAGGCTGATGTCACCTCCTGACCTCAGGTGATCTACCTGACTCGGCCTTCCAAAGTACTGGGATTATAGTCGTGAGCCACGGTACCTGACCTAGAACCAGAAAAATTTGACAAGTAGTCAGTACTCCCTGAGAGTGAGAAGTAGAATCCACAACTTCTTACTCCCAGCTTCATGCTGCATCCTCTTTGGCAAACATTTATATAAGTGATGGAAGCGTTGGAAGCTTGTATATTTTCAAGAAATACCACTACTTGTTCAAAGTAGTGAAAATATACCTAATATTTTTAGATTTAATTGTTGAAGTCAGTCACAAAATCTACACTCTTTTCTTTGCTACCTTATTCATTCAGTATTATCTACAATGTAAGATTCATGCTTTAGTCCCTGTATCCCTCCAAACTTATCTTGTACCATTTTCCTCTTATATAAAATACCCCAGCTTTATCAGCCTCCTTTCGATTTCTCAGCACCCCAAACTCAATCTCACTTTGAGTTCTTTGCACAACTGGGTTCTCACTGCTTGCAGCCCTCTTTCCTTGTCTCTTTGAATTGTAACTTTTCCTCATTAGTCAGTGTCATCCTTTGGCACTGGGGTTTCTTCTTCAGAGACCTTTCCTGACAACCTTCTTCCCACCCCAGGCATTCTCTTTCAGCTACCCTGTTTTACTTTCTTCATAACATAACACTATCTTTAAATAATTTTAATTTAAAAATCAACTCATTTACCACTGGTCTTCTGTGCTAAAATGTCCTGTGTTTCATGAGCACAGGAACTATATTTATTTACCTTTATAATCACTACTCTTTGAACATTGCCTGGCATATATAGTAGGAAGTCAATAAATATTTGTGAGTGAATAAACCTTATTCAGGAAGCAATGCTTGTTCATTCCAGATTAGCAATTATGACATAGTCTTTTTCCGTAGTGCTGATTTGGGGTTGGTAAATTCAAGTCAGTTTTATTTATCTTGTGGGAAAATTTCTCTGAGGAAATAAAGCAATAAACATCAGGATTTTTGTAAAAAGTTAGTAGCATTTTCAACAGTGTATTATTTACCCAGAGTGAAGACTGGTTGAATAATCACATCTTTATAACTGCTCAAGGAATAAGCTATTGATTCTGTTCAGTTGTCCTAATAACTCTTGGGAATAACATACCTCCTACTAAATGTGTATTTAGAAAATGTATATTTTCTTAGGAGCAAAATACACATTGATACACTCTGAGTTATAGAAATATTTGTAGACACTTCCATTAAAAAGCTATATACTCGACCAGGAGCAGTGACTTATGCCTGCCATAATCCCAGCAGTTTGGGAGGTCAAGATGGGCAGACTGCCTGAGGCCAGGAGTTCAAAACCAGCCTGGCCAACATGGTGAAACCCCGTTTCTGCTAAAAATACAAAAAAATTAGCTGGGCATGGTGGTGGGCACCTGTAATCCCATCTACTCAGGAGACTGAGGCAGGAGAATTGCTTGAACCTAGGAGGCCAAACTTGCAGTGAGCAGAGATCGTGCCATTGCACTCCAGCCTGGGCAGCAAGAGCAAAACTCTGTCTCAACAACAGCAACAAAAAGCTATGTACTCATCTCTGAGCACAGGTGGAGTATATATTCAAATGTGTGTTTATTAGGCGTCTCAATTTTTATCAATCTCCACTTTGTTAAAGAATAGAGGTTTCCGACCAGGCGCAGTGGCTCATGCTTGTATTCCCAGCACTCTGGGAGGCCAATGTAAGCAGATCACTTCAGCCCAAGAGTTCAAGACCAGCCTGAACAACATGGAGAAACCCCCATCTCTACAAAAAATACAAAAATTAGCTGGGCAGGCACTTGTAGTCCTAGCTACTAAGGAGGCTGAGGTGGGAGGACCACCTGAGCTCCGGAGTTCAAGATAGAAGTGAACTGTGATTGTGCCACTGCACTCCAGCCTGAGTGACAGAGTAAGACCCTGTCTCAAAAGAAAAAAAAAAAAAAAAGAAAGAAAGAAAAAGAATATGGGTTTTGTTTAACAGGTAACATAGATTATTTAACAAGTAACAGATTAATTCTAATCATACAGCATTCCAACATTTATCAAAATCTTAGCAGAAAAAAAATACATATTTGCTGAGGAAGTATTGAAAAGTACAGTTTGTTATTTTGATATTATTACAAATTACTCATTTGTCAAATTGTTGAACACACTAAGTATCTGGATAAAAGGATACCCTTGTAGAATTGATTTATTGTTTTAGTGTTTTCAACTTAATTTGAGGGAGGTTATAAGAAACATGTAAGAAACACATTTTCTGTTAGAAGGATATTATATATATCCTTTTATTGGGATCTTTGGAAGGAGTTGTTTATATTATGCAGTAATCCCTCCTTATTCATGGTTTTGCTTTTCGTGATTTCAGTCATCTGTAGTCTGAAAATACTAAGTGGAAAATTACAGAAACAATTTATAAGTTTGAAATCTCACATCATTCAGCTCCATCCCTTCTGGGACATGAAATATTCCTTTGTCCACTGTATGGGCCATCAGCCCAACAGTCACTTAGTAGCAGCCTCAGTTATCAGACCCACTGTCCTGGTATCAAACTACTTGTTTTCAAGAAACTCTATTTTACTTAATAATGGCCCCAAAGTGCAAAAGGTAAGCCACTGGCAATTTGGGTATGCCAGAGAGAAGTACTTCCTTTAAGTGAAAAGGTGAAAGTTCTTAACACTGTATGCTGAGGTTTCTGAGATCTACAGTAACAAGGAATCTTGTATTTGTCAAAGAGTAAACAGTATATTGTTACAATTGTTCTGCTTTATTATTACTGTTGCCAGTCTTTTACTGTGCTTAATTTATTAATTAAACTTTACCACAGATACGTGTTATAGTAAAAAATATAGTGTTTACAGGGTTTGGTACTATCTGTGGTTTCAGGCATCCACTAAGGTCTTAGAACTTACTTCTCACAGATGGGAGGACTAGTATAATAAGAGGAATAGAAGCACTTCCTTAAATACATATTTTTCTTATGCTAAGGACACTGTGAATGATGTGATAGATCAGGTTTTCTCTTCTGTATCTTTGGGCCAAAATTTGTAAACAATGCCTGGAAAATATATCGTAGAGGTTTTTTTGGTCTTAGATTTTTATTTGGTTTTCTTTTCCAGTCCATCTCCCTAGCTTGGTCTTTTATTTGCTTGTTTGTTTTGTTTTCCTTCTTACTTTTAGTCTATGTTCTCATGTTCTCCTTCAGTGCTCCCTGAATGTTCTCTAGAATTTGGTTGTGAGGGCAGTCAACATATAAACAACCATGTTTAGGGAATATCACTATAAAAGGCAGAAGGCTAGCTTGGGAGCATATGAAGATGAGTAAATTATGTTTTGTCCTATTGTAGTGACATTTGAACAGGTAATAATAATATAAAATACTGTGTAATGAGGGTTATAAGGGAGAGATAGCCTTAGAATATAGAGAATTTCCTTTCAGCTATAAAGAATATTTTTAAAAATAATAGTTAGGATACATCTAGTTATATACCCATTAAAATACCATTTCTTATGGTCGTCTGTCCAGGTTTCATTTTTTTAAAATTCTCTTTGCTGAACCCATACCCATTTATTTTTAAAAAATGTTTATTGTAGGCAGGGTGTAGTGGCTCATGCCTGTAATCCCAGCACTTAGGGAGGCAGAGGCAGGAGGATAGCTTGAGCCCAGGAATTCAAGACCTGTCTGGGCAATATTGCAAGAACGTGTTCTCAAAAAAAAAAAAAAAAAACAATAATAAATAAAATTAAGAATAAGAATTATTTATTCTAAAGTTCATTTATTTAAAAAATTGTATAAAAACAAGTTTATTTCATGACCCTTCCATTTACTTTCTTTATTCTAGTCTTTTTCATAACAGCCTTATTTTGAAAATAACTGTGATTAGTATGTAGAAATTCTCAGTACAAGATGAGTTTAGTGAATTCTAAAGTCAGACAGGGATTTAGCAGTAGAACTGCTTTTCATTATCCAGTGTGCCTGTACTCCATCAAAGATCCTTTATAACTTTTCTCTAAATTCTCAAATTAGCTTTCCTCAGAAAAATGTTGGCTAGGCAGAGTCGCTCACGCCTGTAATCTTAGCGTTTTGGGAGGCCAAGGGAGGTGGATCACCTGAGGATAGGAGTTCAAGACCAGCCTGGCCAACATGGTGAAACCCCATCTCTACTAAAAATTAGCCAGGTGTGGTGGCATGCACCTGTAGTCCCAGCTACCCGTGAGGCTGAGGGAGGGGAATAGTTTGAACCTAGGAGGCAGAGGTTGCAGTGAGCCAAGATTGTGCCACTGCAGCACTCTAGCCTGGGCAATAGAGTGAGACTCCATCTCACAAAAAAAAAAAAAGAAAAGAAAAGAAAAGAAAAGAAAAATGTTACATTTTCTAAGGTTTTTAATGAGATTGATTATAATTTTTTTATCAATAATATCTTTGGGTCTTAGATTTTAATTATTTCTTTGACAAATTAATATGTATAAGGAAATGTGGCTAGATATGTGATTTATTGAAAGAGTTGTATTTTCAATATATTAAGATCCAAAGTAACTATGTAGGTAGACTTTGCTGGACTTGATTTTCTAGTCATCTGAAAATTTAAAATTCACAGAATAAAAAGAAAAATTTGTCATTGCTTCATTAACAGTGTCTTTCCTTATCTACAGGTTTTTGGAAATGCTCCACCAAATACAATGACAGAAAAATTTTCTGATCTTCTGCAGTTCACAACGCAAGTCTCACGACTAATGGTGACAGAAATTCGAAGGAGAGCATCAAACAAATCCACAGGTATTTTTATAGTAGCCAGCAAAAACTGATTTGTTTCAATGAACAGGCAGTTCTGTAAAAGTCCCATTAAAATTAAATGGAAAACAGACCTTATTCTCAGCACATACCTATCCCCATTCCCATTCTTAGAGTCACACTCTTCTCCTGGTTTCAGCATCTTCAACTCTTGAGTAATTCTGCTCAAGGCTGTTCTGCCTGGACCACTACCACTTCCACTTTAACCTTATAAAATAGTATCTTTTTCCCTTTGAACAAAATACAAATTTCTCAGCGTGACATTTATGGCAAAGCTATCATCTGGTCTTTTTTTTTTTTTTTTTTTTTTTTTTTTTTTAAGCATACTCTGATTCTATTGCTTGTTTTCTTTTCTGTATCTCAACCAAATCCAGCTGTCTGTAGTCCTCAAACATGTCTATACTCTTATTTTAATCATTTACTTAGAATGCTTCACTGAGGAAGGAGACTCTTTTCCTCATTTCAATGTGTCTAAATGTCAGCATGATTAAGTCATGCTTCCTTGATGAAATGTTTTTTGATTTCTTTAGGCAAAGAAAAATTTTTTCTCTTCTGAACTACTGTTTTTCTTCTCAACCTCCTAGGTGGTCACTGGGCGTGCGTCTTGATCTTCCCATTAGACCATAAGCCACTTAGGGGTCTGTGTCATCTGTAGTAGTTGCTCTCTAGGCCAGCTGCACAGCTGCCATTTTAACATCTCTATTCACATTGTCCAGGGATGCCTTTTCATTTCTTTTGGATGTATTCTGTTTCCTGAATCCTTTAAATTCCTGATTTTGATACAGCATCTTTTCCAGCAGCTTCATAAAAAAGGATACAAGGGAATTGTGAGGGTTTTGTTTGTTTTAGACATACCACAAGCTAAACATTTTTTGACTATTGATGTGAAAAATGGGTTTCTTTCTCTTCAGTAACTAAAGTGCTACCTTTAGCCTGAAAAACCTTTCAGCTGCCAGGACCTAGAACAAATTCCACTACATCATACAGCATGATTATTACAGAAAAGGAAGCTTAATATAAAACCAGGGATCAATAAGAGAAAAGAAGACACAGTCCTACCACTCTCATGATCTCACAGATACTTGTGCTGGGGAGATGTGCTGAATATGCAGCTGTGGTTTACATTTAAATGGAGAGATACTTCCCTCACCTTCTCTCCATCCTCCATGGCTCTCCATTCCTAAAAGGCAAGCTGGAGAGTAATCTCGTTAGTGAAGAGACATTTAAACTACCTATGATTTAGGCCATTTGAATACTTGTTAGATATTTATAGGAGTTGTTTGAGAATGCTAGCTGTGTAATACAGGAGGCCCTTTTAGCAGAGATTAGAAGCTACTAATTGCCTGGGAAAGTTGACCATGGGTTGAGATGGACAGTGGTGGGTGTCTTAGCGCTGTCTTTCCATGCAGCCCAGGGTGAGCACTCAGGGTCATTTTGGAAAATCTTGCCGCTTGCATTATTAACAGTCCTCCTTAAGTAAGTATCAGGTTCTATGTTGGAAATAATTTTGTCTCAGAATTTTAAATTTTTTCTGTTATAATTTAGGTTCTTACATTGTTATCGAGAAATGGAAATCTATCTAGATTCTTGATGTTTTTTTTCCTCTGTGACCTATTTTTTTTTCTAGAAGTTTTTGGGATCTTCTCTTTGTCCCTGCTTTTCTAAAATTTTATCATAAGATGCCTTGTGGTAGACCTATTTTTATACATGTGCTGGGTACTCATTGGACTCTTCCAGTCTGGTTATTCATATCCTTTAATTTGGGGAAAGTTTCATGAATTGTTTAATAATATCCTCCCCTCTGTTTTCTCCTTCTGGTCAGATGACCCTCTTAGACTATTCCTCTCATTTTCTTATCCTTCCTCTCATTTTCTATTTCTATTTTTTGACTACTTGCTAAGAGAACTCAGTTTTATCATCTATCTCTTCTATGGAGGTTTTTTTTTTAATTTGTGATATTATATTTTTCTCATTTTAAAAAATATTTTTTATTTCTAAGTGTCTTTTCTTACTTGTTTCTATTATTTTGGTGATGCATTCTCTTTCTGAGGTTTCTTTCTTTCAGATTTTTATCTCCTTAAACAATCTTTTTCTTTCACGTTTAATACAACAGTTGTTTTTTTATCAATTTGTTTTTGTCTTTGCCTTTTATGTTAAAGAATGTCCTTACATGTCTCACCCTTGACCATCTGCCATTACATAAGAATGGAGCATTAAAAAGCTTTTTAATTGTGTGTGAAGCTTGCAACTGTGGGCTTCAACATAAGGTGATCTTGCTGGGCTATTTTTTTGGTGATCTTTTTCCTAAACAAAGCAGTACTCAGAGAATTGTCCAGTCTCTTCTTGGGAAATATATGCATTTTGGAAGCAAAGTACAGGAAAGATTTGGGGACCCTGAAGGTTTAGTATATAAGCTTTTATTTTACCTTTGTGTGTCCACATGGTGCCTGGTGTCCACCAGTCCATACTGCTTCTCTTATTCTTTTTAGTGAACAAACCAACCTCTGGTCTGGTGCCCACATAGTAGCGGGGACCTTGGGTCTAACTGCTCTTGAACATATTTTCCACCAATCCTTCTCTCTATAGTTCCATATTTACTTCAGCTTCCAAAGGTGCCTAGTGCCACCAATTTCTGAGCCTCTCAGGGGTTCTTTGTTAGTTTGGTTGCTTTTCCACTTTTCCTGAATTACTTCAAGATTCTAGGGTTTGCTAAATCAGTAAGTAACCATGAATGTCTATGCTATTTTAGTATCCAAAATTGCATTGCTTTCATTTATTCTGTTCTTCTTGTTCTGAAGAATTTATACTTTTAAAAATCCTTTTACAAGCATTTTAATGGATGTATTCATCCATTTTCATAGCGCTATAAGGAAATACCCAAGACTGGGATAAAGAAAAGCAGTTTAATTGACTCACAGTTTCACATGGCTGGGGAGGCCTCAGGAAACTTATAAACATGGCAGAAGACAAAGGGGAAGCAAGCACTTTCTTGACAAGGCAGCAGGAGAGAGAAGAGAGCATGTGAAGGAACTGTCAAATACTTATAAAACTATCAGATTTCATGAATACTCACTCGCCATTGTGAGAACAGCATTGGGGAAACTACCCCCATGATCCAGTCACCTCCCTCCAAGTCTCTCCCTGGATGCATGACGATTACAATTTGAGATGAGATTTGGGTAAACACACAGAGCCAAACCATATCAGTGGATATATTAGTCTGCTTAGGTTGCTATCACAAAATGCCATAGACTGGAAGATTTAAACTGCAGAAATTGATTTTCTTACAACTTTGGAGGCTGAAAGTGTGAGAACAGGGTGATAGGTTCTGATAAGAGCTTTTGTCCTGGCATGCAGACTGCTGCTTTCTTGCTGGGTGATCAGGTTGGGGAGGGGAAAAGAGAGTCAGCTCTCTGGTATCTCTTCTGTTAAGGGCACTAATCCTGTCATGAGGTCCCCACCCCCATGACCTCATAACCTGCTACCTCTCATAAGCATCATCTTCAAATATATTCACATTGGAGGTTAGGGCTTCAAAATATGAATTTTGAAGGAACACATTTCTGCTTATATCAGTGACATTTCCAAACAGAGCAGAGATAAATGCATATTCTCAATCTTCCATCTTAACTCTATTAGGCAATCTTTGTAAGAACCATCAACATTGAGATTGAGGACTAAATCCCTTACACAGAAGCAGTATATTCCAGAGACTGATGTATGGATTTTAAAGTGAGATGTTTTAAATTATATCGGCAGTCCTTGAAACAAGTCCAGTGAAAGGTGCTAAGATAATTTAGGGTATCTCTGTCTCTGCCTTCTCCCTTCTCTATTCAAAATGGTGTTGTATCTTTTTTTAATCTTTCTTTTTTTTTTTTTTAATGATACAAAGTCTCACTCTGTTGACTATGCTGGAGTGCAGCAGCTCCATCTCAGCTCACTGCAACCTCCACCTCCTAGGTTCAAGTGATTCTCCACCCTCAGCCTCCCATGTAGCTAGGATTACAGGCATCCACCACCACACCTGGATAATTTTTGTATTTTTAGTAGAGACAGGATTTCACCACGTTTGCCAGGCTTGCTTCAAACTCCTGGCCTCAAGTGATCTGCCCGGTCTCAGCCTCCCAAAGTGTTGGGATTATAGACCTGAGCCACCTGGCTCTTTTTTATCTTTTCTGAGTTTAGTTACTCCTGTTGAAGGAAAAAGTTGACATACAGTATAAGATTTAGGTAGTTTTTGCCTTTTTAGTGAAGGTAAATTTCTGTCACATGCTGACCGTCATTGCATTTTCTTTCTTGAAGGACATACTAAATTAGGAAAAAATTCCTAAAAACTTATTTATACTTGCCTCTGTTACTATCTTTATAAATACCTAATCTGCATGTTTGTAGAAAGACATTTTGCTATGCTAGAGATTTGTTTTCCAACTCCCTTTATGATTTTATATCCACAGGGCAATTTTTTTGATATAATGAAAGATGTCTTAAATTGAGTAGAAGATGTCTCACTGTTAATTACAGTAAGAGTTACACAAGATTTTTTTTTTTTCAACTTTTAAGTTTAAAATAATCATAGACTCATAGGAAGTTACAAAAATAGTTTATAGGATCATATGCCTTTCATCCACTTTTCCTCATTGGTGACATCTTATTACTTAGGGATTTTTAAGATACATTTTTTTTATGTTGTATATTTTCACATAATTTTTAGTTTTAAACTCCTAAAATTTATTAACCTTTGAATACTGTGATATTCAATTTAGTTTGTTTGTTTACTTCCTCATGAAAGATCCTTCCGAGTACCCTATCTCAAATAGGTCATCTGTCCTCTGTCTCACCCATTAGTATCTGTTTAGTCACATTGTGTGTTTCTTTCATAGCTCTGCTATCATCTGAAAGTATTTTGTTTATTTACTTATTTAATTTTATTGTTTGTTGTGTTCACCCTGTATTACTAGCACCTAGAATAATGCTTCTCACATAAT